TGTGTGTGTGTGTGTGTGTGTGTGTGTGAGTGTGTTAGGGAATCCTCCTCTGACACTTGACTGATCATTCACTCGCTTCAGTTTGATCTTTTTCAAAAGGTGGAAAAATCCATGTGAGGAGAGAAAGGAGCTTTGTAGTTTGAGCTTTGAAGCCAACGAACTTTACGGTAGAAGAAGAAGAAGAAGAAATCTACTTCCTGTTTACACACTTGACCAGCGTCATGACGGTTACGTGGCGTGTTAGCGTGGATTATTTCTGATGCACTCGTCTGGACGGAGGTGGAATTAGTTTTAAAATAAAAGCTCATCATCATGAAGGTCCATCTTCTCGACGCGTGATTGGACGGACTTCACGTTGTTCTGGAGCGAGCGATGAAGAAACTCCACAACCAGGGAAACGTCAACAACAGAAACAGAAAACATCTGAAATCTGCAGGAAGAAAATGAGCTGGTGTGAGATGCAATGTTCCGAGTGTAGCAGGTGAGAGATTGTTTTTCTCCTCACACACTTTGACAGCTTGATATCGACTGAGAGGATCAGCCTGTAGCAGCTCGTCTGATCTCAGGAGAAGAATCACACAATGAAAACCGCTGATGTTCAGCAGGACAACTGGAAAACAAAGTCCTGAAGCTGCACGTTTTCTTTATTTGGTGGTTTCACAGTTTCGTTTTTGGTCGTTAGGAGAAAATGAGGAGAGAATTTGAGCCTTTTATTGGTGAATAAAATATTATCTTTATAAATATATAGATTATATATAGATTATATCCACTGCTGCTGTGTGGCAGCTGCTGGTGGAGACCATCAACTGGACTGAAAGTTTGTGTTGAATCATTATTTAAACACATCGACAGAGAGCTCAGGTTTTAAAAATACCAGAATTGAGCCGATGAGGAAATCTCACTTTTATCGGTTTTCTCATCAGAAGGATGTTTGACGTCTGTTCGGTCTCGTTGAACTTTCCTCTCTCATTCAAACTGTGGGTTTCTCATCAAGACTTCAGATAAATCATTTTGACTTTAGAAGCTTGCGTCGTGGTTGAAGAATATTTTTTCTCACAGATCAGACGTTTGAAAACCTTCAGTGTCCCGAACACGAGGAAGAGGCCTCGTGGTTCTTTATAACCACGGACGTCCTGACCTTCGAGAGGAGGAGGGTTAATTATAGAGGACGCAGGCGACAAGAGGCTGGCAGCTCCAAGCCTGAGTGGTAATCACACACAGAGAGACACACACACACACACACATCTGCCTCAAACTTCTCTGTCGTCTTCTGAGTTGTTGTTTCAGATGATTTGTCTTTTTTTAGAGTTCCGTTAAAAAGGATTCAAATCAAGTGATGTTGTTACTAAATATAAAAGTTGTGTTCTTCTGTGTTGTCGTGTGAGGTAACCATAGTAACAGTATTTTACGTCTCTTCTGTAATTATGTCATCGGGGCAGCGTGTGTCTCCAGGTGTAGTTGCCTTGAGTGTCTCCAGGTGGCGCTGTGTGAAGCACAGACTGTAAATAAACACCATCTTCCCATCCAATGCCCCATCCACTAACATGGAGGAGGAGGGGTTTATGACCTGTACTGCAGCCTGACACCAGGGGGACACTTCACGTGTCCAACTTTATTTAGTCTATGAAATAAAGATGGACGATGTCTCCGCTTGTGTTTGAAGTAATTCTGATAAATATTCAGCTCAAATAAATTCGTTTCCACACGAAACCAAGAGATGGAAGTTTTATCTTAGAACCAGTTTCACTCTGCATATGGAAGTTTTATCTTCAGAACCAGTTTCACTCTGC